TGTAAACACTATTTCAAAATCATCCCAAGTTATATAGGTGTAGCACTCAGACACATCAAACAGATCGTCTTCACATTGGATTTTTGTGATTGCCCATGAAAGTTGTGTATCAACTATATGTGAAGTCAATTTAAACACAAATTATGCATATATACATCTTATCATTCTACTTTGACTTATTTCTGTTACACCATTGGATTTCCAATTTGTTCCTAATAATTAAGGCATTGTTCTTTGAAATATTAAAATAACATGGTACTTTCAGTTTTTTCTTATTAGGACATTATACTTTGATACATTTAACCAATTATAGCAGTGGAAATTGCTATTAGAAATGAAAATAGGATGTTGTAATAAACAAATCAATGAAAGTATATTGTTATTTTTGACATTTTATTAGACACCCTCCAATATTAAAACATTGTAATAAACTCAGTAGAATCTTTAACCTTGATTTCATTGTTGCCAATCAAGGCTCACACGTTGACAACGTGATTAAGGGAAACAAAAATGAATAAATCTAAAAAATCATTAAAGACATCAGGTAGACTCACTTATGACTTATCCCATTTCTTTATTGACCCAATAAATTAACAAGAATTGACAAAAAAGTTAAATGTAACTTAGTAAAATGATACAAAAAATTACAAATTTCCACAGTCAAAAGATTTACATTTTTAATGTTAAATGGGGACTTTAAGTAGGAAAAGAAAGTGTTGGTATTTTGGACAGCCATCACAGAAAAATACAACAATGTGGTAGTTGGGCTTAATGACAAAAGTGGAGAATCTTTTATAACAAAATAATAGTAAGTAAATACCTAAAATACCACTCTACTAAATGGATGCCTAATAGTTTATTACCCCTTTCTATAATACGTGAGTTAAGTGGATGTGTAGCTCTAGCATAATTTGGTTTTTCTTGATCATGAAATTAGGTATTCTAATGTCAACTTTAAATCTTAAAAGTAGAATAACATTGACCTTTTCTTGCTGCAAATCTTGGATGCAAATGTTTCAAACTGTAACTTACAAGTTAAAAGTACAACACTTATGTTTTTAATCTTAACCTTGCTATATTATATAAGCTAAATTTATTGAAAATGATACATGAATTCATGAAGAATATCAATTCTTAAGTGTAAGCATTTAGGTCATCAACAGATTACAAACTATGACAATGAAAATGATTTATTTACTTTCCTAACAAATACTTTTAGGCAACTTATTTTTATCACTTCTCATATTCACGAATAAAAAAAATCAAAAGAAATTGATCAAATAGTATCAAAAGCTAGCAATGGTGAGAAACTTACCAATGCATTCATGTCTTAATCCCCGTTTAATTTTGTGTTACTCCAGTTTGATAGGCTAATGTTTTGTTGTTCGATATATCTTGTAGTTAATTAGATATTTTAATAGATAACTAGTAAAAAAAGTTTGGGCTTCAACCCCGGGTCGTGTTTTTTTTTAACTTTTATTTTTAAAATAAACCAAAGCATGGGGGCCTTTAAATTCATCGATTAAAAAGCAAACGGTAAAGAAATCCACTACAAATTCAATACGCAATACAACAAAACAAAAAAAAAAAAAGAACCACATATGCCAAATAATAACAAGTATTTGGCCAAAAGTATCATTTAAAAAAACATTTATTCAAATTATGATTGAAAAGTCAAAAGAGAGAGGACTAAAAGTGTAACCTTTACACCAAATAGCTTGAAGCCTAGCAGTATCCGGTGTTGCCCTCCCTCCTTGAGGTCGAGGATTCAAGTCCAGCTGTGGACATAGGTAAAATAATTTAGGAGTAGTTTAGTATATTTTCCATTTAAAAAAAAAGTGTAACCTTTACAAAGTGGTGTGGTCAAAACCCAAAACAATGAAACTTTACTATTCCCTAAGGGTTCGTGCATTAATATATACCCACACCCCGCTTTGCGGGGGACGCAGACAGGGTGTACAGTGGGCGTAATCTATAAATTTATTTACGTAGCGACCATTTTTGTAATTTTTAAAGGCATGGGCGAAATCTATAAAACTGCATAAGGACATTTTCTGTAAATTATAGGAACAATTTTTGTATTTTATTTTCTATATAGGGGTCAAACCTGTCAACATACGGAAATCTTAAATATATGGACTATTTTTGGAAAAAGAAAAGAAATTTACAAGGACCTTTTCTATACAATAGTTATGTGGCAAAACTCTAAGGGGTTGTTTGGTTCGCAAAATGTTGCTGAAGGAATTAGAATTGGAATTGGAAAACGATTATGTCAGGAATTTGAATCCAATTCTATATGTTGTTTGGTTGGAAGGAAATGGAATTGGAATTAATTCCAAATTATGTTTGCTTAGCAGGAAATGGAATTTGAATACATGTAAAATGAGAAAATTATCGTTTTTGCTTGTGTAGTTTAATTTTACCTTATTTTCTAACTTATATGTAAAGATACATTATATAAATTATAAAAACAGTAAACTTTTGGCGGTGGTGGTAGTGGTGGTGATAATGGTGGTGGGTGATGGTAGTGGTGGTGGTGGTAGTGTTGTTAGTGGTGGGTGCGGTGGCGGTGGTGGTGGCGGTGATGGTGGTGGTGACGTTGGTAGTGGTAGTGGTGACGGCGACAGTGGAGGTAGTGGTGGGTGGTGGTGGTGGTAGTGGTGGTGTTAGTGTTGGTAGCGGCGATGACCTTGGTGGTGGTGGGTGGTGGCGGTGGTGATGGTGGGTGGTTGGTGACGATGGTAGTGGTGGTGGTCGGTGATGGTAGTGGTGGTGCTCAGTGATAGTAGTGGTGGTGGTGGTGGTGGCCGCAGCGGCGGTGGTGGTGGTGGTAATGGTGAGTGGTCGGTGGTGGTGGTGGTGGCGGCGACGATGGTATTCGTGGTGGTGGCGGTGGTGGTGGTCGGTGATGGTAGTGGTAGTGGTGGTGGGTTTTCTGATAAGTACAAGAGGTATTTTTATAATTTGCCACTTTCCTTGATGAGAAACAATGTTTTCCATCCAACTTTGGAAGGAATTCACTTTCCTCCACATGGTGGAAAGTTTATTTCATTTAGGAATCTTTTTCCCCCCTCTAAGTCCAACCGAACACATGAATTCAAGAGAATTAGAATCTTTTTCCCTCGAATTCCATTTCTTTCCTGCCAACCAAACGCACCCTAAAGTAAACAAAAGTTACTATTTCCAAGGGGTTAGTGAATTAATATATATATATATATATATATATATATATATATATATATATATATATATATATATATATATATATATATATTCTACATAAGGGTCAAACCTATCAACATACGAAAATTTTAAATATATGGACTATTTTTGTAAAAAAAGAACTTTACAAGGACCTCTTCTATACGATAGAAAATTAAAGGGACTAAATCTTGCAAAATACAATAGTTATTTGGAAAAACCCTAAAGCATACAAAAGTTACTATTGCTAAGGAGTTTGTGAACTATAATATATATATATATATATATATATATATATATATATATATTAATGGTTTACATACATGAATTCATTTGTCATATTAATCATATAAGTTTTGATGAGGATTAGGACAAAATTCTTGATTTGGCGCATTTATCTTCAAACACTAAGAACCAAATCAACCTAGGATGGATGAATCACAGAGCACCTGAGATATCCGTCCCTTATGTATCCTTTGAATGCTAGTAATATATGAAATTCTCAAAGTAGTGAGCTTAAAACAAACTCGCTACATTTGTAAGTAACTGGAAATTTCCATTGTTCTTTATGTGGCAATTTTAATTCCAATGAGAATATAGACATTTATTCAAAATAGAGTACAAATCATAAAGCATCGATGAGTTTATATATATATATATAGATATATATATATATATATAATATATATATATATATATATATATATATATAAAATAAGAGGTTTTGTAACATAATTCCATCAAAGTATCAATAATATCATGATTTACACACAAAATTTATGTTTCTAGCTAGGGTATGTCCTTCTATGAAGATGAAACTATAAAAAAACTAATTAAAATCATAAACTATTGTAACAAAATACGGAACATGGAAGGCATTCATCTTAGAAGCTATTGTTTAGAAATCAGAAATCATAAACAAACAATTCAATGATATTTTTTTGAAACTAGGGTTTATCAGAGGTTTTAATGTTAAAGTAGAAAGGTTAGAGATGTTACTTCTCAAGATATAACAGAATAGCGACAGGGTGACCGACAGCAGAAATCGTGATCACGAAGAATCATATCACAAATCGATGGCATAAATGACAATGGCGTGACCAGTGGGATCGTGGCAAGTCAAAAAGTGGTGAAACGAGGATGGAAACGGCGAGGCGGCGAGTTGATTTCTTGAGCGGAGCAACCCTAATCGATCGACGTTTGCTTTGATTTCTCGTGGTGTTGATGATTTTGAATGATAATACGAGAGCTTTGAGGGTATCAGTAGTACTAACTACTAAGGCTTTGAGAGTTTTGTTAAAAGACGAATCGCATAATTTGTCATTATTTTAAATAGATAGTCATTTTATGCAGAGAAGAGAATGTCACCTATGACATTTTCCCGAGCTAATCAAGATAGTCAATCACAATTATCGACTTTATCTAATTAATATAAAATATCCTTTGGAAATGAAATTTGAACGCCATTATGATATATTCAACCTTTTTTTTTTTAACTTTAATGCCATTTTAATATTTTGTTTGCCATTACTTTTTTTTAACTAATATAAAATATTCTTTCTAAATGAAATTTGTTTTTAAATAGATAAAATAGTTATTTGGTATTTTATGCAAAAACATGTTTACAGACTATAAATAATAAATTAAAATATCACTATACAAATTGTTAAGAATTTCATTTTATCGTTTTTCTTATCAAAAACATACTATTTTGTTGCATAAATGTAAATCATCAACCCTATATTTAAAACTAGAAATGAGGCCCGTGCGTTGCACGGGTCGGTTTTTGTTGTTGATGTTTGGCTGGTCACGAAAGTAGGATGCTATAATGTCATTCAAATACTAAGCAACTGTATAGATTGAATAGAGTATAATGTCTTAATGTAAGAAATGAAAGTAAACAAATAAATTAGTGTACGTTGCTATTTTTTGCATTTAACGCTTTTGGCTGATAGAAAAAACATTTCGAGTCGAAATCCCATTCCTCATAACTTGAATAAAGCCACCTGAAGAAAAGAAAAAATATTTTCTATTATTATCGTATTGACATTTTTTTTTGATGCAGTTGTGCATGCTAAAAAGGTTACAATATCTAACCCTTATCCATCAAGAATATGTTATTTAAAAAAAACAAAACAATACTTTTAGGAACATTTTCTCCAATTGCCATTTTTTTAAAATTAAAGCTAAATGAACCGTGTTTGTTGACCACAATTAGAATCTACCTCAAGGTATTGAATATTAGAAACTTTGATGGTTTTCTCAACTTGAAGCCCACGTGGCAGAAATAACTGCAGCAAAAACAATAATTTTTTAGGGAAAATTAAGTACATTGTAGCGAAATTTAGACTACATTGTTGTTTTGTAGAGATGCGTTAGTGTTTCAGATATTCTTCTTAGCTTGATAGACTTTCAATGCACAATTCCCTAATAGGAAGAAATGAATGCACAAATCCATTATAAACAAACCAATAAAAGTACACAGTTATTTAAAAGCTGCTAAATATCCATACCTCGAGTGCACGGAGCATCACTTCAACCGGTGGAGATAATGTCGGAACAAAAACCGATGGATGTTTGTGATGGATGAAGTTTTTTCCTTCTTCTTTACCCGAAGTAAATGTTTTGGTGCTTGTTTTTCAGCTTCAGTGACTTTCTCAAGCTGTAAGTATTAACATTTCAAATGGGATATTAATATTTCCGTCTATTCCAAAGATAATACCATTTTATCCTTGTCTACATTAAGAAATAAAAAATAGTTACTAAAGATAGAAAGCTAATTGGTAAACATAAATAAACCTATCAATCCTCATATCCTAAATCTTTAATCAAACAGCAGGAATCAACAATTATGTTGCATGATGAGTAATGTCAAGATATAAAATCTCATCAACGTCATATTCATATAAACTGGAAATTTAGTCTTATGTCAAACAATTCCTTTCAGAAACTTAATTACCAGAGTGTTCTGTCAGTCCATGTTGATTGATAGTTCGATATTTATTCAGGTAAGAAACATTAGACATCCCAAACCATGGACCCGGAGTAACAAACATAGATAGATACATAGCATATCTTCAGGTTTGCAAATCAATGAAAACAATAAGCAGAACAGGACATGATGATGTAACGTTTAAAGGAGAAAATAACACCTTTTTTTGTATAAAGATGTATGAAAAGCCTTTGGCCATCATCAGGGAAATTTGACATCCAACCATATTCACAAACCTGCCATCATTTTTAGCTCGGGGATTAAAGATTCACAAGTTTAACCTGTCAAATAAAAAAAATAGTTAGAAGCACATCCAAAAAGCAAAAAATAAATAAATAAAGATAAAAGATAAAACGTGAAGGCTTTCAGCTTCTTAATAGTGTTTTTTCATTGTTTGTTATCTGAAATAGAATTCTAAGGCATGTAATACACATATTTTCGAAAGTGACTACCATATAAAGCAAATTAGCCATGTTTTTTGGTCCTAACAGGTTAATACCTGAATCATTCTCGCATTCATAATACCGACCCGAAATTCAATTCATAATTTTGGTCAACTATTAAATGTCACTATCTATAAGTTCAGGCAATTAGTCAACTATATAACATGAAAACATAGAAAACTTCAATGAATGAGATTCCTAACAGATAACCACTATATTACCCTTTTATTTATAACAAAACAGAAAAGGGTAATTATTTGAGATATTTATGATGTTTTTGTTCATGTTTTAAGCAACTGACAATATTACCCTTTGATTTAAAATAAAATAAAAACCAGAAAAGGGTAATGTAGCCGTTTTACACGGAAAATGACCAAAACGATTACAAAAAAGAAAAACTTTTGTAATTTATTTTTAAATTAGAAAAAAAAAACAGAAAATAGTACCTGCTTAACAATCATCTTCAAATGTGATGAACTTACAAAAGTTTAAGCAGGACCCCTTTCATAATTCAACTGCTGCAAAGATAACAGATGGGTGTTTTTCACTCAAGAAACATAGAAATCGATTGGAAATCATCTGTAAGTCAGCATGAGGCAGGAGAGTTCACTATAGAAATAGATTTTGCAGTTTTTCAATTCGATTAAGGTATTTCAGTTTCTTCAGTTTTTATAGATTTTTTTTATTGGGTTGGGTAATTATTCTTATAAGAGCATATGTCAAAGCAAAAAGTCAAAATATGTATATCACCTGCAAAATACAAACAAAAAAAGAACATGACAACACAAAGTACATCATAATAGAAGCAGAGAATTGACAAATACAAACTTCACAATCGAAGGTAATCAAAGAAGAAGATACATAATCATTGAAAAAGAATGTTACAACATGAAGTACGCAATAGAAGAACAGACAATAGAGAAATGCAAAGGTAACAATCAAAGGTAATAGAAAGCTGAAGGTATATGGGAAAAAGGGAGAATATGATAATATGACTTTCAGTAGTTAACGGAATTTGAATATAATTTTTCTTACAACATCCATTGCATACATCAAATAACCAAGAATGTCACTTGAAAAACATAAAAATATAATCTTTTCCTAAATTCCAAAATGAAGAACCGCCAAAAGTTACAAATCTTGAATAACTACACCCGCTAAATGACATAAATTAGTCTTTAAAACGATCAACTAATTCACTTTATGATACAAAATCTTTAAAAAATTTGACCAAAAATAAGTTTGTGATTTGAAAAAATTGAAAGAAGGAATGGATTCAAGAAACTTTGAAGACTTTGATAACACATAGTTCATAATTTATATATAAAAAAAAGGAATTATAATACAGAAAGATGGAAATTCAAGAACATCCGTGGACTGGGTGATTGATTTAATTAATTGAAACTTGTAAACTAAAACACCACGAATCATCAAAGATTAAAAAGTGAACTTCTTTTACCTATTTTTCATGAAGTTTTACCAAAACAGTCAACAAAACTTGAAATATGGATGCAATCAGGATATAAAAACTTCATGGAAATTGAAGAATGCTCGTGTGTTAGATGATGATCAAATTAAATACATGTTAAAAAATAGCCACACACATAATCATGAGAGATCAAACAATTGACTTCATTCAGCTAATTTTCAAGAAAATTGATCAACACAAAGTTGTTGAAGAAAAAAGAGTTTGTAATACTGAAAATTAAAAATAAAAAAAAAAAAAGAAAAAAAAAGAATCAAGAACAAATTTCAATTGGGTGATTGATCAAAATAACCAAACTTTTAAAGCCAACAACCTCATAATAAATTTGGAAGATCAGACAGTTTTTGACCCAACTTTCAAGAATATTGATCAACAAATTGTTCATAATTTTGAAAAACAAAAAAGATTGAAAAATGTTTATGCGTGCATGAAACCAACAATTACACAAATTTAAGAACAAACCTCAATTCGGGATCTGGAATACATTAAATGACTGAAGAATCAGACGTTTATTCTTGATCGGAAAATCTTCTCCTCATCGAAACTGTATCAAATTAGGTTTAGCTGTATTTCAGAATCCAAGATTGACGGATTAGGAAGGAGGAATCAGAATAGCATGGTATAAATTAGGTGAAATTATTAATTATCTTTGATAATGTTATACCTGCGGAATACATGAAGGTCATCGGCCTTGGGTTCTTCCAGAGCATCGGCCAGATGTCTTCTGGAAATAATGTTTCCATAGTGTACGAATCTGCATCTAACAGAAGAGTCAGGAGTATGTCTGCAACGTGAGATGTCATGGATACATGTTAACATGCAAAATACGATATTAGAATCAGGGTAATAGAATCAACATACACACGCCCAGCCCGAAAGCATGTTCACCTGCAACCCAAAGTGAGAGATTAATCTGAAAATTAAAAACAACAAACCACAAATTAAAAAAATTAGGGCTCAAACCTACCTGAATCGGGTTCAACATCTCCAGTAATACCTTAACAGGGGCTTTTGCCGGAGCACTGTTAGGTCGATGAAGTGGTTGTAGGCCGACGAAATCCGATTAATCAAAGAGACGAACCATTGAGAAATCGTTGCTGAGACTTTTGAAGGAAAGCGAAGGGGAAGTATTGGACTGTGATGCGGTGAAGACGGTGGATGAAGAAAAAACGCATGGTGAAAAGAACTTGGTGGAATAGTGAGGATCTGGAAGGATGAATCAAAGGCGATGGAAGAAACTGTGGGTCAATCGTTAGGTTAAGAAGCTAAGAAGCGGTTGGGTTCTTTAAAGAAGGAACCAAAAGAAGCAAGATGTCAGTCAGTCGGTGTAAAGGATGAGGTAGCGGCGGAATCGTGGCGTTATATTCAAGGAGATCCGCCCCGGAACAGTACCCGACTCGGTATTGTTCCTAAGGGAAGAAGAAGGGAGAAACGGTGGAGACGAAGAGGGTTGGGGAGACGGTGAAATTTGGAAGTGGGATAAAAGGAAGATTGTGGAAGGATCTGGGTGGAAGTATCGTAATATCGTAACCACTGTAGTAAATCCGAGGAACGGTACCCTGGTCAAGTACTGTTCCTAACTTTCATTTCCTTAATATATATATATTAATTATCACTTTCAAATTTACATCTTTAAGAAATGTATGATTATTTCTTTTTTTCTTTACATCTCTTAACAAAATAATATATATATATATATATATATATATATATATATATATATATTTTCCACCTAACTTTATCAAATATATCATATATTGAAAATTAGACTAAACTGTAAATTTGGTCACTATGGTGTTGTGACATGCTCTCTAGGGGATTTGGATGTTTGATGATGTACCGCCTCGGAAGCTTTCTTCAGAACACAATCACAGAAGAACCGTTAGAGGACGACCGAGTGTTCTCCCGGGACGTCGCTCCGACGATCAAGTTAGTTTTCTGAGAGAGAGAACTAGGGTAAATTCTGTGAGAGAGAAATGGATCCCTTCCTTGAGGCGGAATAGATGCTTTTATACATGTTACTTACGGATCGTGGGGACCTCGTCCAACGAGTATGATACGTGGCCTCCTCTAACTGAGAGAATTATGCCCACGTTAACTAACTGCCTGGTGATGTCAATTCTGGGCGTCACCAAGGCTTCTTGTCACGTCCTGATTGGTCGTGAGTGGATGAGAATATCACGGGGAATATTCGTCCCACGTGGAGGGAAGCGAACTGTTGCCCCGGTGTTGGATTACTTGGGCCAAAGCCAGGTCGGGCCTTGGCCAAGGTTTTGACGAGATAACGTCTCATTTGTACTTTCATTACATTTAACGTGACCGTTCATGGTAACGTTAAAAAGTACCTTAGGCCAGTAGCCTCCTGCGTTCGTGACGTAGCGGAGTTATTCTGGTCTACTCACAGACACGTGGTGGGCTGCTACTGGCAGCTTGTGCAGTTGGCAGGATGAAATCATCGTTGTTCGGCAGTTTCATCATAAGAACGGTTCGCTGCCCCATTGATGGCTTTAAAACCCCTGTTCCTCCTGGCGTTTCCTTATTTCCTTCTACTTGTTTCTCTTTGCCCTCTTGTTCTTGAGAAAAACCCTTTCAACCTTTACTTCATATTTTTTTCATGGCTACTGCTCGCACTTTAGGAAGAGATCTTACCACTGAGGAATGGGAGTCTTTCGAGTTCCGATTCGGGTTCGTTCCCGAACACAGAGTGCAAATCCCCCTACCTGATGCATCACTTTATAGTCCTCCTGAGGGAAAAGTTGGCATCCCAATCGCCTTGTTCGAGGCAGTTCTGCGCTTGCCTACCACTGATTTCTTCAACCTGATCATCCGGGAATACGGGTTTTCAGTGAGAGAGTTGACCCCTATCGCTATAAACAAGATAGTGAGTTTCGAACTTCTCTGTCGTGCCCTAGGCCGCCTGCCGACTGTTTCGGCTTTCAAGCACTTCTTCAATGCCTCTACTCAGTCAGGGACTCGAACCCTTTCCCGCAGGCGGGGAGTCCCTACTCTTATCCATGATAAGAAGTCAAAGAAAACTTGCAGGAGAAGTTCTTGTGGGTAAACAATGATCTCGAGGTGTTCAGTTATCCGAGGGATAAGGTGTACACGACCGTGATCCCACATTGTTTGGTGCCAACCAAGAACTGGCTGATGTCCTGGAGAAGATCAGCATCAACGGTGACGATTGGTTTGACTGCTACTTGGCCGCCGGTGGAATGAGCGCCGCTTGGAGGGCTTGCGGGAAGATGCCTAAGTTATTTGTTGAGAAAAATGGTATTTCTCTTGCTCCTCTTCCCCTTTTTTTTTGAAAAATTGGTGAAGCACGTTTAAATCGACATTCTGTTTAACCGTCGTTATCTTTTTTTTTTGTTGCCAAGTCTGGAGGAAATTGTTTCTTTAGAGAAATTACTTCAGGGTCTGTTCGACGGTGAGCTTCAGTGCCGTGGCGTCGATCTTGCGGAGGCTCTTCCACCCCCTGATTCTGGTCAAGGAATCGGGGCCATCGTCGGTTCCGACAGTGTCGCTGGCACCGACGAGGATCTGGAGCTTCAAGATGTTTTTGTTACCGGCGCTTCTCAGAAGGATCCTACGCCTTCCGGATCGCCGAGGAGTCTTCGTCGTGTCAAGAGGCATTTTTCCCTCTTAGAAGCCTCTTCCGGTGGTCGATTTGAGACGGCCAACACCGAGCCCCCCCCCCCTTCGTAAAAAACGTAATCTGAGTTTCTTACTAGGGGGAACCAAGAGTTCTAACCGTGCCCCCGATGAAAGCCTCCGAAACTGCTGGAGGGGGCACAAACCAGGGGGACTAAACTGCCCTGTCATACGGGAGAAGGAAGCACCGAGAAGACCAGCCCTGTTCCCTCTACTGGTGGAGCCAAGGCGAAGACCGGGTCTTCGCCTTCCTAGGGTCTTGCATCAACTTCTTCCGGTAAAGCCGCAACTCTCCCCCTTTTATCAGGTTCTCATACAGATGCATATAAGCCTGCTTGGAGGCTAACTGCCCAAGACCTTGTCTCCGATCACGACACCGCTCTCGAGTGGTGTCAGCACGCCTTTCCTCCTGCTACCACTGAGGCCCTATCTGTCCTTTCAGATGAGCATATAGACGACGGCTTGCGTTACGCCGCCACCCAAGTGTCATCTTACTTGCTCGCAACCGTTGAACGTATTTCCGATATAGAGACCCTCCAGACTGACTCTAACAGGAAGAACATTAAGTGAGAAGAGCTGAGGGCCCAGGTGGAGAAGTTGGAACCGACAAGTACAGCTTGGAGGCCAAGCAGGAGGTGGTGCTGCTCGAGAAAGAAAGCTTGGCAGGTCAAGTGGCGAAGCCGGAGGAAGAGGTGAGGCGCCTGAACGATCGTGTGGGGGCCCTGAGTCTAGAGAACGCCGATTTAAGCGGACGGACGGCGGAAGTGGAGGTTGATCTGGTTGCTGAGAACGCCGCAAGGGGAGCGCTGGAGAAGGATATTTCTTGGATCCTTAGTGACGGGCCTAACCGGGTGGTGGACAGGGTGATCGAGAGCCCCCAGTTTCTCCAGGGTTTGGTGCAGGTGCGTGTGGCTTGTGAGGCGGCGGGGGTAGAGTAGGGAAAGAGGGCTGCTCAAGAGCTGTTAATCGTTGGGGATTTTAACGCAGAGGTTGAGGTGGACGTGGCCACCAAGGTCCAGGATATGGAAGATGTCATGGCTGCTTTTACTGAAACAGACTTTGCCAACTATCTTCGCTTGCGTAATCTGGACATCGTCGGGCTTCGAAACCTTTGTCAAGATGCTCAAAGCGATGGACCGGGCCCTAGCCCAAGCCCTCCCCTTGGTGATGGTAACACCCTTGCCCCCAAGTTTCACTATTTTATTTATTTTGATGTAGCACTTGTGAACAATATTTTATTTTTCTTGCTTTATTTTTTGTCTTTGCTGCCTTTAGAGGCAGCCTGAAAGTCCGGGAGTCCGGCACCCTTGACAATGTTCACTTTATTTTTGTGGGTATGAATGTTTGTTACCGCATATATTCGTTTGTTTGGTTGCGTCATGGATGGTTTATGTTGGCAATCACATGGTATTTACGGAGGGTTTGCTTACACCCCTGGTCTGAGTCCTTTCGTTGGTAAACTCGTTATATTTTATTAAAGCTGGTCTTTGAGAAATTTTTTCTAATTTGCTGCTTAAAGACCCTAGGTGTAGCCAAGATTATCAGCTTGAGGCTCACCCGATTATGCTTTGCTTATTGGTGGAAGGTTATGATCTATCTACACTCATGTCACATGTTCTTTCATATGTTTGCTATGATGTGATTGATGAACATGTTTTGGGAGGAAGGTTATGAGCATTCTCTATGTAAACTCCCTGGCTGCCTCCTGGTAACGATTTCGCTCGTGTGACGATGGATGATCAGTCCTTGTTGTCACACGGTAAATGTACACAACCTCTTTGTTTTGCTTTTCAAGCTTGAAAATAAAGGGGCATCTGAATTGCCCTTTTTGTTTACTCTAGTTTTGTTTAGAGCGTAATAAAATTGAAAGTAGTAAAGTAATTACATGTTAAAATTTATACACAATCCTTCTCTAGCACTGATTCCCAACGGTGGTGAGAATGGTCCCACTATATCGATCCCCCATTGATGGAAAGGCCAGGGGCTGATAATGTTGGTCAATGGCATGGACGGTTGATTTTGGAATGGGGTGAACGCTTGGCCCTCCTTTCATTTCTTGGTTAAGGTTGCGACGTCATTGTACACGTCCGACCAATATACCCCTAGGCGGAGTATTTTGCATGTGAGTGCATGAGCGCCTTCGTGTGCTTCTGCGTCCCCGAAATGACTTTCTTTGAGGAACGTCTGTCCTTCTTTCTTGGAGATGCACCTGAGCCATGGGCTTAAATATCCTCTCCGGTAGAGTTGATTGTCCCTGATTGTAAAATGCGGTGATCTGATTTTGACTTTTCTCGCCTCCATTGGGTTGTCTGGAAGCACTCCATGGCGCAAGTAATCAACAAACGGTTTTGGTCCATTCCGGGGTAGTCGATACTGTATTAACCTTTTGGTTATCAATACTTATTTCCGGGAGCACTTCGACTAGCACTTTCTTTGTTAAGTGATCATAGGAAGTTGAGGCGAGCTTGCTGAGGTCATCCGCCCTTGCGTTCTTTCCCCGTGAGATTTGTTTTACGGAATATAT